TTTCGTGAATTTCGACCTTCGGCGGGCTCTCTGGAACGGATTAATCACGAAACTCGGGGGTCCACTGTATTAGTCAGAGGGCTGAAGAGGGGTTGTTGAAGTGGTTTGGTCATTTAGAGAGAATGGATCAAAGTAGAATGACATGGAGAGCATTTAAGTCTGTAGGAGAAGGAAGGCAGGGTAGGGGTCATCCTCGAAAAGGCTGGAGGGAGGGGGTAAGGGAGGTGTTGTGGCCGAGGGGTTTGGACTTCCAGCAGGCGTGCGTGAGCATGTTAGATAAGAGTGAATGGAGACAAATGGTATTTGGGACCTGACGAGCTGTTGGAGTGTGAGCAGGGTAATATTTAGTGAAGGGATTCAGGGAAACCGGTTATTTTTATATAGCCGGACTTGAGTCCTGGTAATGGGAAGTACAGTGCCTGCACTCTGGGGGAGGGTTTCAGGATATTGGCAGTTTGGAGGAATATGTTGTGTATCTTTATACATATATGCTTCTAAGCTGTTGTGTTCTGAGCACCTCTGCAAAAACAGTGATTATGTGTGAGTGAGGTGAAAGTGTTGAATGATGATGGAAGTATTTTCTTTTTGGGGATTTTCTTTCTTTTTGGGTCACCATGCCTCGGTGGGAGCTGGCCGATTTGTTGAAAAAAAAAAAATATCATAATAATAATAATGATAGAGCTTCAGTTCCCTAAATTAATAATAATCATAATACATAATACGAACATAATAATAATTCAGAATGCTGCCGCTAGTTGGCACAGCTGATGCCAAAACATCCGGTAAGCAGTACACATGTTAACATCACTGTAGGAGCAGTTCTCTTGTGCTTGCTTGCATTTTTTTTACAGTCATTTGGCCAAATTTCTTTTTCTAACTATGGGTCCTAAGAAAATAAGTGCAAAGGACAGTGCTGAGAAGAAAAAAGACAATGATTTCCATGAACTCAGCCAGGCAATACCAGCTTAGTATATCTACAATATATAGATACTAAAGCTGTATCAGTTATGTTCAGTGATTAAAAAACATTGTATCAGTTAAGTTCAGCGATCAAACAAAACAATGTTGTTGTTGGAAGTTTACAGGGTCACTGACATCATACGCCGCAGCCTCAACCTCCCCACCATTTCTGCTCCAAGTGTGTAAGCACATATACACTTTATATAAACAAGTTAACATTTCTTTACATTCTGTAGTGTATTATGATTTATTATGTTTTTATATATGATATTTCTGCAATTAGCCTCACAAATACTCCATTTTCTCTTACAATAAGAGCATGGGAAGATACTATAGGAAAAGTTAGACAGGAAATGGTGGACGCTTCTACCGCTGCCTCTGCCACCATATTGTGGCCTATTTTATTCATTCTAGAGTATATACATTGGTCCCTTATTTATCGTCGTTAATCCATTCCTGGAAGTGTGACGATTATCGAAATAGACAATTTTCGAATCAATTTTTCCCATGAGAAATAATGTAAATACAATTAATCCATTCCTGACACCCAGAAGTATTAAAACAAAAATTTTTTTTATATGAAATATAGATGTAGTACATAAACAATACAATGGGACATGATGAATGAAACATTAACAGCATAACACTTACCTTTATTGGCGATTCTTCTTAGTGTATGGAAGACTGGAGGAGTAGAGATTGGATTATTTACAGTTTGGAAGGGGAATCCCCTTCCATCAACACCTCAGGTACCAAGTCCTTTTCTGGGGTTACATACTTCTCTTCTCTGTTTCTCAATGCCACTAGGACCAGCTTGAGAGTCACTGGAGTCCTGTCTCGTAGAAAAAGTGTCCAGAGAGCTGGGTTTCTGGCATCTCTTTAAAATGGGCCAAGACTCTGTCACTGTACAAGTTGCCAATATGGCTTGAAACATTCTTCTCAGGGTGATGTTTCTCCATAAATCTTTCCATTCTACCCCACATTTCAAAAATTTCCTTAATTTCTGAAGAAGGCACCTTCTTCCATCCATCTTCCTTCTCCTCTGCAGCAAGATTCTGAGCTGCAATCTGTTCCTGCTGAAGCTCTTGCAGCTCCTCGGTGTTTAGCTCTTCGTTGTGGTCCTCCACCAACTCTTCCACATCCTCCAAACTCACATCCAACCCCATGGAACTCCCCAATGCCACAATAGATTTCACAACTGACATAGGCTCATCAGGGTCAGCCACAAACCCTTCAAAATCCCTCTTGTGGACACAATCTGGCCACAATTTTCTCCAAGCAACAACAGCTTCCTTGATTTCCTTTTTCTTTGCCACGATGGAAGATATGGTTGTATGGGGTTTGTTATATATCCTGACCAGTTTGGCCACATGTACGCCACTTTCATATTGTTCAAGGATGTTTTTCTTAAATTCAATCGTATTTCTCACCTTTACCAAAGGCTTGGCACTAGGAGCTTTCTTTGGACCCATGGTAGCTTACTTAGCACTTGCAAGCACTAAAATGAATGGATTATGAAATATTTCGTATGAACAAGTGAGGGGACCATCGCTCACTGGTAAACAATGGCACACTGACTGGGAAGGGAGGCCGAGGCGGCTCAGAGCCGTGAGTACGCGTCCAGGACGAACGACGATTAGCGAGTCAACCAACCATTTGCGAGCCAATGTTTGGACGAAAATAACCCAACGATTTCCGAAAAGGACGACTATCGAGCCCGATGATTATCGAGGGACCACTGTATCATGTTTGTGTTAATTATATTGTTTATTATGTCAAATTAGATGAATTGTGATAGATAAATAAGCCGTACAGTTGATATTAGCATCACATTCAAGTACGGTGGACCCCCGGTATATGATATTAATCCGTTCCTGAGAGCTCATCGTATGCGAAAATTATCAGAAGGCGAATTAATTTTCTCCATAAGAAATAATGGAAATCAAATTAATCCGTGCAAGACACCCAGAAGTATGAAAAAAAAAAATTTACCACATGAAATATTAAGTTTAATGCACACAGTTTATAGTACTCTACTAACAATAGAATACATGAATACAATAGAATAATGAAGATCTGGTGACGAGTGATGGGATGGGAGGAGGGGAGTGTTGAAGTTGTTAATGTTTAGAAGGGGAATCCTCTTCCATTAGGACTTGAGGTAGCAAGTATTTTCTGGGGTTACTTTCCTTCTTCTTTTAATGCCACTAGGACCAGCTTGAGAGTCACTGGACCTCTGTTGCACAACAAATCTGTCCATAGAAGTCTGTACCTCCCGTTAGTTTAAGATTTGTCTAAAATGGGCCATAACATTGTCATTGTAATAGTCACCAGCATGGCTTGCAATAGCTTTGTTAGGGTGATTTTCATCCATAAAGGTTTGCAGTTTAACCCACTTTGCACACATTTCCTTAATTTTTGAAGTAGGCACAATGGATTCCATAACTGGCATAGGCTTCTCAGGGTTAGCCCCAAACCCTTCAGAATCTTTCTTAACCCTTTGAATGTCACAAAATTTTTGAAAAAAAAAAAAAAAAAAAAATTTCTTATGAAATGACAGAGAATCTTTTCCCGATGGTAATGACACCAAAAGTCCGAAATTTGGTAAAAAACTCACGGAATTACACTACCGCGAAGTTAGCAGTCTCGGCGACATATACATATCGGCAATTTCGCCGACTTTGAGCCCTGTTTTTAGCCAATTCCGTTGTTCCAGTTGACCAAACTCATAGCTATTTCTTTAGAACTCCATTTTATCTATCAATTGAGTACAAGACACTGCCCATTTACCGATTTGAACTACCCAATAAAGTGGTCAGAAATTGGCAATTTGGCCAATTTCACGCAAATCAAAAAAGATGCCAATTTCAAAATAGGGTCCAGAATAAACAAGGCAGACATTCTTGGCACTAAAATAACATATCCTCTGTTCATTAGTCACATCTCTAGGCCCCTCGTATATTACTATTGCTTTCTATTTTGATTTTTTATTCATACAAAAAAAAACACAAAATTTACTGGTATGCAGACTACTGCATTATTTTAAAAATGGTATAAATAATATCAGTGCACTAATGAAAGAATATTAGACTCCCCAGTTGACGTGTATTGGACGTGTGGTGTGATTTGCTTACTCCTGAACATTGGTAAAAATCAAACATTTCCGCTACTTTGAGCTCAGTTTCAAGGTCGTTTTCATCGTGAAAGTAATGAAAACCATCTCCATTTCTTTAATATGTTTTCCATTTTATCACCTAAGACCATGAAAACGAGAATACAACGATAAATACTATACGAAAATACACCTCAAAGTCAGCATTTTAATCCAAAAAAACGGTCAGTTTTTTTTTCTCATTACGCACTGTGTGCTGCAGGATTTTTTTATGTTGTGCACACTGACCACACAGACCCATTCTCTCACATGTGGGCCTACCAGGTTTCTCCTGCTTGATTTGAAGCCGCTAGAATTTATGAGTATATATACGTCAGAAACAGTGGCGTGTAACACATATTTATACGGCGTAAACAAAGGGTTAATTTCCATACTAATTCTCACCCTTTTTACCACAGGGTTGGCACTAGAAGCTTTTTTGGGGCCCATGGTGACTTATTTTGCAGAAACAAGCACCAAAAACACTGTGATAATATGGAATGTACCGAATTTATGCTTCGATGCGAGCACACTGGCTGGCTTGTAAATACTGGCACACACGGGGCAGTTCAGACCACATGTGGACGCGTCCCGGACGAATCGCATGTGGCGGGTTTTTTAACGAGTGGCGAGGCAAAATTTTTGTGTTAAAATGTATCGAATACCGGATTTAACGTATACCGATGCCATTGAATGCCGGCGGTCCACTGTATTTTGTCTTGTCTCCAGAGTGCAGGAACGGATTAATGGCTTTTCAGTTAATTTAAGTGAGGAAAATTTATTTGATATATGAGTAAATTGAGTTACGAGCTAGGTCACAGAACGGATTAAACTCGTAAGTCAAGGTTCCACTGTATTTATTTGAATTCTCTTTCACTGCATCTTTTTAAATGAGTATTTGTTACAGGCTCATGTGCTGGAAGTTCTGCAGGAAGCACTTGCAGAAGCAGGTGCCGACCCACAAGATGTTGATGCTATTGCCTTCACCAAAGGGCCTGGGATGGCTGCACCGCTAATAAGCGTTGCAGTGGTAGCCAGAACCATCTCTCAGCTCTGGAACAAACCTCTTATTGCTGTTAACCACTGTATAGGACACATAGAAATGGGAAGGCTAGTCACTGGAGCAGAAAACCCAACTGTTCTCTATGTGAGTGGAGGTAACACACAAATTATTGCCTACCTAGAAAGGAAATATAGAATTTTTGGTGAAACTATTGATCTTGCAGTTGGAAACTGTTTGGACAGATTTGCAAGGATTTTGATGCTTTCAAATGACCCAAGTCCAGGCTATAATATTGAACAAATGGCAAAGAAAGGTAAAAAGTACCTCCCTCTCCCATACTGTGTAAAAGGTATGGATGTTTCCTTTTCTGGCATCCTTTCTTACCTAGAGGAGCGTGCTAACAAACTGCTAAAGACTCAACAGTACACTAAAGCGGATCTTTGTTTCTCTCTGCAAGAAACTGTCTTTGCCATGCTGGTAGAAACAACTGAACGAGCTATGGCTCATTGTGGTTCTCAGGAGGTTCTTATTTGTGGGGGTGTTGGCTGTAATATAAGGCTTCAGGAGATGATGGGTAAGATGTGTGAAGAAAGAGGAGCAAAGCTTTATGCAACTGATGAGAGCTTTTGTATTGATAATGGAGCTATGATAGCCCAAGCTGGGTATCTCATGTATAACTCAGGGCTTACAACTCCACTCAGTGATACTTGGGTTACACAGAGATTTAGGACAGATGATGTACCTGTAACATGGAGAGAGTAAATTCCTATGATCAGACAATTTTTGTTGTACTTGAGGACCCAGTTAATATCTTTTTGAAGTACCAACAAATGCACATTGTACTGCTTGTCCTCATTTAATTAATAAAATAATTCATAAATTCCTAATTTTCTTTACCCAGAGGTATAGCACACTAAATTAATGAAAACTTGTCCTTTCTCTGATGTACCATTTAATGTGTAATGTATGTATAGGTAGATTTTATTTTGTATTTAAAATAAGCCAAGCAAAGTGTCACAATATTTGATAATAATTAGGCTGCCACTAATGGTGTCTGATCATGGCACTCCTTATAGGGTGCCATAATGACACTAGAGGGGTGTCACAAGGGTTAGTGCTTAGTCGGATAATGTCACCAACAGGGTGCCACAATGATCATTGCTTGCTCTAAGTTAGGGTGCTTGGTCAGATTATGTGATATCAGATCAAGCACTGATGATTGTGCTACCCCACTGGTGACGATCAGAGCAAGCATTAATCCTTGAAGTTATCAGAGCAAGTATTGATCCTTGACAGTATCAGAGCGAGCACTGATCCTTGACAGTATCAGAGCAAGTATTGATCCTTGACAGTATTAGAGCAAGCACTGATTCTTGACATTATGCAGAGCTCTTCAGACAAACCTCAGCCTAATTTAAGACTAAAATGGCAATAAATAATTAATTGCTTATACAGCTTCTCCTCATTTAGCGACATGCTCATTTACCAGTGCCTCGGACTTACAATGGGTTCTATGACCAGTATTTATACCTAAATAATGTATATTAGAGCTGATTTCCTCTCTTGTTTATTTCAATATATGTACAGTACACTACTGTATAAACATTTAAAAATATACCAGAAATGTTATAAATGGTGCAAAGGTGATATTAAAGCAATATCAAAGAACGTACTTCACTTCAAAGCACTTTTGAAACATTTCTTTGGTGTACAGTTTTTTGAAATTTGAAATGACCTGCTGGTCCATGGGCTGGAGGAGAGGAGTGGTATTACGAGGCAAGAACTTGACTTTGATAATACTCAAGTACCCCAAAATTCGCTCTGGCAACTCTGAAGGATGAGCAGGAGCACTGTCTAATACCAGGAGGCACTTGAGGTCCAATTTATTTTCCAGGAGGTAATTTTTCACAGTGGGGCCAAACACATGATAAAACCAATCACAGAAAATGTCCCTAGTGACTCATGCCTTACTGTTTGCCCTCCACATCACACACAAATTAGCCTTGACGACATTGTTTTTCTTGAACACTCTGGGAGTTTCAGAGTGATACACGAGTAGAGGCTTCACTTTGCAATCCCCACTAGCATTACTACACAACATGAGAGTTACCCTGTCTTTCATAGGCAGTGCTTTTTGCTCCTGTGTAATGTAGGTCCTGTTTGGCATTTTCTTCCAAAAACAGGCCTGTTTCATCACAATTAAACACTTGCTGGGGTTTTAATTTTTCAGTGTCTATGTACTCCTTGAATTCCTGCACATATTTTTCAGCCACTTTTTGGTCCAAACTGGCAGCCTCACCATGCTTTACCACACTGTGTATGCCACTACGATTCTTAAATCTCTCAAACCAACCTTTGCTGGCCTTAAATTCAATAATATCACCACTAGTTGCAGGCATTTTTTTAATTAAATTGTCATGCAACTGCCTTGCCTTTTCACACATGATTGATTGAGAGATACTATCTCCTGATATCTGTTTTTTGTTTATCCACAACAACAGTCTTTCAACATCTTCAAGTACTTGCGATCTCTGTTTTAAAAACATACTTGCACTTATCGCAACAACAGCTTCCTTGTTGGCCAAGATAGTAGCGATGGTTGATTGGGGTTTGTTATACAACCTGGCCAGCTCGGAGACATACACTCCACTTTCATACTTTGTGATTATCTCCTCCTTCATTTTGATTGTAATTCTCACCCTTTTTACTACAGGATTGGCACTAGCTTTCTTTGGGCCCATGGTGGCTTATTTAGCAGTTAGAAGCACTAAAAACACTGGAATAATACAAAATGCAGCTAAGGCGCACTCAGGCCAGACGGACTCATGGATGCTTTCAGGACGAATGTTGTTCGAGTTTTTCATTGTTGGTCAGGCCAATGTTGGTCGGTTCCACTGTATTCAGGTATCTGCTGGGTTAACACCATTAACTCACAATACATATACTCTACTGTGCTCTTTATTAAGTGTCCTTCGAGCCTGCTGCTCTCAGGATTGCTGGGCAGACTAAACATTCTACTTAACTGAAGTTTCTCTGGGATGAAGTGTAAAAAATTCTGACCAGATCTGTGGGTCATATGCAGTGCCAGAGTTACATGGAGAGGCCCCAGGATATTCCACTTGTGAGGGCCTCTCCCAATCCCCTGCCCTAGAGGAAGGTGCAAGAGTGTTTTAACCCTTTCAGGGTCCAGAGGACAAATTTCAAAGTGTGCACCAGTGTCCAAGAATTTTCAAAAAATAATTTTATTTTTTCTTATGAAATGGTAGAGAATCTTTTTCTGAAGGTAATAAAACAAAAAGTACGAAATTTGATGGAAAATTGACGAAATTATGCTCTTGCAAATTCTGATGTGTCAGCGATATTTACTCATCGGCGATTTTGCCGACTTTGACTCCCATTTTAGGCCAATTACATTATTCCAAATGACCAAATTCTTAGCTATTTCACTAGTATTACTTCTATTCTATCGATTGAGCACAAGAATTTACCAAGTCAACTGTTTTACCTACAAAATAAAGCGATCGGAAATTGGTAATTTGGCCAATTTAATGCGAAGTTCAAAATACTCCAGTTTCAAAATAGGGTCCAGAATAAACAATGCAGGCATTCCTGGCATTAAACTAACACTTCCTCTGTTCACTAGTTACGTTTTCAGGCTTTACTAATGAATTCCATTTTGATTTCTTATTCACATAATGAATTTTTATTCAAACCAAAAAATAGATTTACTGTTATGCAATATTGTAATAATTGTATAAATAATATCACCACTTTTGTGAACGTATATTAGACCCACCAGCAGGCATGTATTAGACGTGTGAGGTCATTTGTTTACTCTTGAACATTGGCAAAAATTTAACATTTCCGCTACTTTGAGCTCAGTTTCTAGTCATTTCCAGTACTAAAACCAATCAAAATCATCTCTATTTCTGTAATATATCTTCCATTCTATCAAATGAGACCAAGAAAAAATCGCAAATACAACTATAAAAACATACGAAAAAACACTGCAAAGTTGCTGTTTTAATTGAAAATTATGGTCTCGTTTTTTTCCCTCTCATTATGCACTATTTGCTGCAGGATTTGTTTTATGTTGTGCAACACATACCACATAGATATATTCTCTCATATGTAGGCCAAAATTTACTGCTTACAGCTTGTTGGAGTGAGCTGAGCTTATGATGTAGAGTTACGGTTTGGACCCTCAACGTAAAGCCATAGATCTACGGCACGGACCCTCAAAGGGTTAAACAAAATTCAGTGAAGCCGAGGATGATGACAGGTGTTTAAACTTCTGCAATTCACAATTCCTCCTCTAAAAGGTCTACAGTAGCGATTGAAAAAAATCATAAATGTTAAAATTAACAATGAAAAACTTTTGCAGTAACCAAACATTTTGCAGAATAGACAGGTATTTTTAGGAAAATGAAATTTTAAGTTTACTGTTATACTCTTTAAAATACATACTCTTTTTTTTTTTTGTTTCATCATGTTATCCGTCCCACTGAGGCAGGGTGACCCAAACAAGAAAGAAACTTTCGCCATCATTCACACAATATCACTGTCTTTGCAGAGGTGACCAGGTATGACAGTTCAGATGTCACTCCCAACAGCCAATATCCCAAACCCCTACTTTAAAGTGCAGGACTCAAGTCCAGCTAACCAGTTTCTCTGAATCCCTTCACAAAATATTACCCTGCTCACACTCCAACAGCTCATCAGGTCCCAAACACCATTTGTTTCCATTCATTCTTATTAACACTCTCACACATGCCTGCTGCAGGCCCCTTGCACACAAAACCTATTTAAAATACATATTGGTAGTAGGTTGGTAGACAGCAACCACCCAGGGAGGTACTACCGTCCTGCCAAGTGAATGTAAAACAAAAGCCTGTAATTGTTTTACATGATGGTAGGATTGCTGGTGTCTTTTGTCTATCTCATAAATATGCAAGATTAAAGGTATGTCTTGCTACTTCTACTTACACTTAGGTCACACTACACATACATGTACACGTTTATTTATACACACTCATCTGAGTTTTCTTTGATTTTATCTTAATAGTTCTTGGTCTTATTACTTTTCCTTTTAAATCCATGGGGAAGTGGAATAAGAATCTTTCCTCCATAAGCCATGCATGTTGTAAAAGTCAACTAAAATGCCGGGAACAATGGGCTAGTAACCCCTTTTCCTGTAAAGATTACTAAAAAGAATAAGAAGAAGAAATTTGTCAAAGTGGGAAGTCTGAATGTGCGTGGATGTTGTGCAAATGATAAGAAAGAGATGATTGTGGATGTTATGAATGAGAAGAAGCTGGATGTCCTGGCTTTAAGTGAAACGAAGCTGAAGGGGGTGGGAGAGTTTCAATGGAGAGGAATAAAATGGGATTAGGTCAGGGGTTTCAAATAGAGTTAGAGCAAAGAAAGGAGTAGCAATAATGTTGAAGGTTTAAGCTATGGCAGGAAAAGAGGGGCTAAAAAATGTATTAATTCAAGGATTATGTGGAGTAAAAAAAAGATTGGATTTTGAAAAGTGGGTTATAGTAAGCGTGTATGCCCCTGGAGAAGAAAGAAGGTGTAAGAGGAGAGAGAGAGTTTTTGGGGAAAATGTTGAGTGAATGCGTGGGGAGCTTTGAATCAAGTGTGAGAGTAATGGGGTTGGGGATTTCATGCTAAAGTGGGTATAAATGTTATGGAGGGGAGTAGTAGGTAAATTTGGGGTGCCAGGGGTAAATGTAAATGGGGAAGCCTTTATTGAGCTAGTGTAAAAGAGTTTTTGGTAATAAGAATACATTTTTTATGAAAAAGAGGATAAATAAATATACAAGGTATGATGTAGCATGTAATGAAAGTAGTTTGTTAGATTATGTATTGGTGGAT